ACCCATATATAATTATTCAGTCCAATACTAAACATAATTAATTATTTAATTTATTAAGCTAATTACTCAGTCCAATATTAAAAATAATTATTTAATTTATTAAACTAACACACACAAAATTAATTTTGTTTAAATTATAGTAGACGACATCGCCTTTCCTCCGCCTGCGCATCCTGGACCTGCCGAGGATCAGTTGTTAGTGTTGCAGGGCGACCATAGGTCCTCCTATGTATGGGAGGGACAGCTATCGGAGCAGGCTCTCTGCCCCAGGAGACCTGATGATTTGTGGGAGTTCATCGTGCAGCATCCTTTCCATGCCCGTGTAGTCGCGCGCTTACAGGCTATGGGCTTTTATACTATTTTTGAGCTTGGACGGATGCAGCTTGATTGGTCTCTTATCACGGCGTTGGTAGAGCGGTGGCGACCGGAGACGCACACACTTTTCACTTGCCCACTGGAGAGGCCACCATCACGCTGGAGGATGTTAAGGTTTTATACGGGCTACGCGTAGATGGACGGGCCCTGGCACTGCCCCAGTACATTAGATCCATGACGTGTGCCCAGTTTTTGGATATGATGGGGCAGTTTACTGGTTATAGACCTCAGGGTGGCGCTGGGGGCAGTCGATTTCTTTTGTCAGCCATTAGAGATCATATGGCTGTTTTGCACCCTGACATTACCGGCGAGACGAAGGATCTCCACATTGAGAGGTACACGCGGTTGGCGCTGCTCCTGCTTTTCGGGTGTGTGTTGTTCACGAACACTTCGAGGAGTACTGTGAGTATGCGCTATCTCCATCATCTTCAGCGGCTGGATGATTTACCTCAGTACAGCTGGGGTGCTGCTGTTCTCGCATACTTGTATAGGAGCATGTGCCGGGCGAGCATGGGCCCAGCAGTGGACATATGTGGCTTTCTGCCAATCCTACAGGTGACAATATTTTCGAATACTTTGTTCATTACTCTGAATTCTATATGGTCGAAATGACTCATAAATTTTACATCAACCTTTTATCTTAGGTTTGGGCCCGGTAGCGGATCATGCCGTTGCAGCCACCTCTACCACCACTTGCTCCCGGCGAGGCTTATCCATTTCTCCCTCTAGCTTCTAGGTGGAGTCTCCGGCGTGGGAACTACCGAGGGAGCGATGCTCATCATAATCTCTCCCTTGTCAGGGATGTGTTAGATATGCTGGTGGACGGACAGGTAAATATGTACCTACACTTGTGAATTAGTAATTGAGTTGTGTTGCGCATACTCACTTTTATGTTATTATTTGGTAGTTCATCTGGACGCCATACAGCAACGAGTTGCTAGCTCAGCTGCCCGATATTTGCTCAGTCGACAGACTGCTTTGGAGCACCTCCGTCCTGATGATCTTCTTCGATATGGTTGAGTATCATGCCACAGAGCGTGTGCTTCGCCAGTTTCACCGTCCCCAGCCTATACCGGGGGAGCCTAGATGGGAGGCTACACACTATCAGCGGGACGACCATGCCAGGGTGGACGTTATATATATGGGATGGCTAGAGCAGCAGGTCCATACTTGGGAGGAGCGAGGTCACCGTATTCCGCCACCACCTACATTTACCCAGGAGGCCACTATTCATCTGTATATGTCATGGTACTGCCATCACACCCGACAGATGATCGGGAACCCCATTCATGTGCTTGGCGATCGCTACAGACCATGCGGCGGGAGGCACGAGGCACTGGTATGTTTTTGTGGCTTATTAATTTTTTATAATTTTGATATAGCGTTATTTAATTAATATTTTAAATGTTTCACAGGCTATTGGGCATCATCACCTCTGCCAAATGGGACAGGAGATGCAGCAGCATGCCGACAATCCTGCACTCGTTGACTATGGCCGGCGGGTGGAACAGGTGGCTCGTCGGACCCTGCTTCAGGCGAGAGATGCCGCAAGGTTGGACCATGAGGCTTAGTGTGTGGCGCCAGAGGACTACCATCGGGGTAGGAGTGTCCCACGAGGCAGGGGTAGGGCACGAGGGAGGGGTTCCCCACAAGGTAGGGATGCCCCACGGGGTCGCGGGAGTCGTGGGGGACGGCGAGGAGGTGGTCCCCAGCAAGGGGGCTATGAGGCACTTGTTGGCCCACCTGTGGAGGGACATGATGGGGATTTTGGAGATGAGGCTCTTGGAGATGATCAGCCGGGTTATGGACCTCAAATAGATGAGCCATCCAGCAGCATGCCATCGTACAGCCTTCAGCTATCTCTTCCAGCATCGCAGGTCACCCCGTCAGGAGCATTGTCGATCACGGGTACATTCGACGGGGATGTAGACCAGTACTTTGCATGCCCATCTACCGCAGCTGAGGATCGGCCCACCCGAGATGTGGATGGCGGGCGCAGGTTGAGTTATGCCTCATCCCCAGCGGTTGATGCGGATCTACCACAGGCGCAGGTATGTTTGTATTACTTTAAAATTTCAATTTGTTTTCTTTTCCTTAATGAGCTAACATTAATTAATTTTTAACTTTCTTATGAAGGTTTCATCCCAGCCCATCTTCGAGGCCACTACATGCTTTGATGAGGACACCAGGGATGCATATACTCAGGCGGCGGACGAGACCACGGTGAGAAAATGTCTTTTGACTCAACACGTACAATACAAATATACTTTTTCACATGCTAAGATTACTATTTGTTTTGCAGATTGCTGACGGCCCGACGGCCTATTCTTCCGATCCTGCTAGCTGTGGTGTCGATGCTGCTGCACATCCTCACATAAAGAGGCGGCTTGATGACGATGATCCAGATAGTGTACCCGGGCGACAGGGGATGCGACTTAGGCCAGCAGCTGCACTGAAGCACACAGGCTGCGGGACTCACTGATTTACTTATGTTTTTACTTTGTGTAAATAGTGCATTATGTAAATAATGGTAATAATTATCTTTTAACAACAATTTTATTTTAATTGCGTTTGAACAGCAATTTAACTTAAACAGTACAACACAAACACAAACCTTGCAAACCTAACACAAAAACAAACAGTAGAACTAAAAGGAAACATAAAGAAAGCAGTTTTTTGACATGGATTTCATCTTTTTCAGAACAACAAGACAACTCCAAAACACGTAGTACTATACTGCGAATTAATTATTACATTTTTCTGCAAGAAATCAGCTTTTTTCACATGGGTTTCTTCTTTTTCAGAACGAGAAGACAACTCCATAAAACGTAGTACTATACTGCGAATTAATTATTATATTTTTAACGACAAGACAACTCCATAAAACGCAGTACTATACTGCGAATNGGGAAAAAGTTGTTGCTCAATTACCTAGCTGTGAATATGCAAACAATGAAGAAGGGGACCTCAACTAACTCAACAACAATCTATGGAGTTGATTAAAGCTGTAACCAGACAGGAAATTGATGAATGTATTCAGGCTATTGGAAATGATAAAGCTCCTGGGATTGATGGGTACAATGCAGTATTTTTTAAGAAAGCATGGGATATAATGAAGGAAGATGTTTATGAAGCTGTCATAGAGTTCTTTGAAACAGGAACAATGCCCAGGGTCATTAATTGCACAACTGTCACTCTATTACCCAAGATTTCTAATCCTGCTACTATAAAAGATTATAGGCCTATATCTTGCTGCTCAGTTCTGTACAAAATCATTGCTAAGCTTTTAGCATCCAGGCTGCAGAAAGTTATGAACTACATAATTGATGAGGCACAAGCTGGCTTTATACCTGGAAGGAAAGGTGCAGACAATACTATTCTAGCCCATGAACTGATTAGAGCCTACTCAAGAAAGCACATATCACCTAGATGCATGATCAAAGTGGACCTGCAAAAAGCCTATGACAGTGTGGAATGGAGTTATGTCCTACAGGTTATGGAAGGATTGGGATTCCCTTACAGATTTACACAATGGATAGCAGCTTGTATCCAAAGTGTGAGTTATTCTATATTGATCAATGGTGAATTGGCTGAACCTTTCCATGCAGCAAAAGGTCTCAGACAAGGTGATCCAATGTCACCCTTCCTATTTGCTATAGCCATGGAATACTTCAGTAGGCTATTGAAAGAACTGAAGGACAAGAAACAATTCAGCTTCCACCCAAAGTGTAAAAAACTAGGCATTACTCACTTGAGTTTTGCAGATGACCTGTTATTATTTGCTAAGGGGGATAAGCAGTCTGTGACAATGCTGAAACAATGCTTTGAGGTTTTCTCTGCAGCCTCAGGTCTCCAAGCTAATCTAAGTAAAAGCTCAGTTTACTTTGGTGGGGTAACAGACACAGAACAGGAAGACATCTTGCAGCAGTTGGGCTATATAAGAGGTGAATTACCTTTCAAATACCTAGGAGTCCCTCTAACTACTAGGAAAATGAAGGTAATTCAATGGCAACCCTTGATTGAAAAGATTGTAGCAAGAATTTCATCCTGGACTGCAAAGAAATTATCATATGCAGGAAGAATCCAACTTATAAAAGCTGTACTGTTTGGTATCCAATCCTATTGGTCCCAAATGTTCTTGATTCCAACCAAGGTGATCAAAACTATTGAAGCCTATTGTAGGAGTTTTATGTGGTCAGGGACAAATGAAATAACCAAACGAGCACTGATCTCCTGGGAGAGAGTATGCAGACCAAAGAGTGCTGGGGGCTTAAATATCATAAACCTGAAGCAATGGAACAAAGCAGCTATTCTCAAACTACAATGGGACCTAGCTTCAAAAAATGACAGATTTTGGATCAAATGGGTGCATATGTACTATATAAAAGGACAGCCTATATTGAGTATCAAGGAGCCAAAACAAGCTAGCTGGATGGCTCAAAAAATTCTGACTAGCAAAGGGCCAAATCTTCAGAATCGAAACCAAGGGAGCAAAGGCAGTATCATCAGGCAGATATACTTACAGCAACTGGGAATATTAGACAAGGGAGTGGAAAGCAGTCATGTTCAACAACTTAGCTAGACCCAAAGCTATATTTTCTATGTGGCTGATCATACAAGAAAGGATGCTAACGGCTGACAGACTGAGCAAATGGAACATGAACGTGGATACTACTTGTGTATTCTGTAAATGTCAACCAGAGCACCATCATCATCTGTTCTATAATTGTTCTATTGTCATGGAACTATGGTATGACATATTCAAATGGCTACAAATTCCAGTTCCAGCTACTACATGGAACCAGTTACTATGTTGGTTCATGGGGAAAGCAAAGAAGAAAACAACTGAAGGGCAACTGATGAGAATGGTTCTAGCTGAAACAGTGTATAGCATATGGGTGGAAAGAAATCATAGAGTTTTTGAGAAGATGTATAGAGATAGGCAAAGCATTGTGAGAGAAATTATCTACATTTGTAATATTAGAGCTGTAGGTAAACTCAAGGATGTCCTACAATACAAGTTTGTATAGGAAGGGGGAAAATAGAAGTCTACCATGTAAACTAGGCAAATAGGAATAAGGAGTATAGAAGGGATAGGAAGTAGTGATTGATACTAGCTGAGTTAGCCATATATTCATGTAATTTGTTGCCTTGAATTAATAATATTTGAATTACCAAAAAAAAATATAGAGCCTTGTAGTGTATTAAAATATAGAGCCTTTTAGCTTAGTAAAATATAGAGCCTTTTAGCGTAGAGTGCAAAATATAGAGCCTTTTAGCGTAGAGTGCAAAATATAGAGCCTTTTAGCTTAGTAAAATATAAAGCCTTAAGTATGTAGTAACTGCAAACTCTATCCAATAACACTTTACAAAATTAATTATTTAATTTATAAAATAAACTTACAAAAGTAACAAATTAATATATGTTGTCAAATAACTCAAATATCGAGCCTGGAACTCATAGATAATTACTCAGTCCAATAATTAAGGATAATTTGGTGCGATCGGGCCTCAAATATCGAGCTTGGAAGGCCATACATAATTATTAAGTCCAATTCAAGAATTTTTAATTTAATTTATTAAACAAATACATTTCTAAAACATTTTGAAATAACACACATAATAATTAAGTATAACTTGGTGCTACCGGGCCTCAAATATAGAGCCTGGAAGCCATTCATAATTATTAAGTCCAATTCAAGAATTCTTAATTTAATTAATTAAACTAACAAATTTCTAAAAAATATTAAAAATGACACACATAATAATTAAGTATAGCTTGGTGCTACCAGGCCTCAAATATCGAGCCGGGAAGGGCATACATAATTATAAAGTCCAATTGAAAAATTTTTAATTTAATTTATTAAACAAACAAATTTCTAAAAAATATTGAAAATGACAGACATAATAATGAAGGATATCTTGGTGCTACCGGGCCTTAAATATCGAGCCTCAAACCCATAGATAATTACTCATTCCAATATAAAAATATTTATTGAATTTATTAAACTAACACACACACAATTAATTTTGTTTAAATTATAGTAGACGACATGGCCTTTCCTCCGCCTGTGCATCCTGGACCTGTCGAGGATCAGTTGTTAGTGTTGCAGGGCGACCATAGGTCTTCCTATGTATGGGAGGGACAGCTATCGGAGCAGGCTCTCCGCCCCAGGAGACCTGATGATTTGTGGGAGTTCATCGTGGAGCATCCTTTCCATGCCCGCGTAGTCGCGCGCTTACAGGCTACGGGCTTCTATACTATTTTTGAGCTTGGACGGATGCAGCTTGATTGGTCTATTATCACGGCGTTGGTAGAGCGGTGGCGACCGGGGACGCACATTTTTCACTTGCCCACTGAAGAGGCCACCATCACGCTAGAGGATGTTCAGGTTTTATACGGGCTACACGTAGATGGACGGGCCGTGGCACTGCCCCAGTACATTAGATCCGTGACGCGTGCCCAGTTTTTGGATATGATGGGACAGTTTACTGGTTATAGACCTCAGGGTGGCGCTGGGGGCAGTCGCGTTCTTTTGTCAGCCATTAGAGATCATATGGCTGTTTTGCACCCTGACATTACCAGCGAGACGGAGGATCTCCACATTGAGAGGTACACGCGGTTGGCGCTGCTCCTGCTTTTCGGGTGTGTCTTGTTCACGAACACTTCGGGGAGTACTGTGAGTATGCGCTATCTCCATCATCTTCAGCGGCTGGATGATTTACCTTAGTACAGCTGGGGTGCTGCTGTTCTCGCATACTTGTATAGGAGCATGTGCCGGGCGAGCATGGGCCCAGCGGTGGACATATGTGGTTTTCTGCCCCTCCTACAGGTGACAACATTTTCGAATACTCTGTTCATTACTCTGAATTCTATATGGTCGAAATGACTCATAAATTTTACATCAACCTTTTATCTTAGGTTTGGGCCTGGCAGCGGATCATGCTACCACCACTTGCGCCCGGTGAGGCTTATCCGTTTCCCTCTAGCTTCTAGGTGGATTCTCCGACGTGGGAACTACCGAGGGAGCGATGCTCATCATAATCTCCCCCTTGTCAGGGATGTGTTAGATATGTTGGTGGACGGACAGGTAAATATGTACCTACACTTGCAAATTAGTAATTGAGTTGTGTTGCGCATACTCACTTTTATGTTATTATTTGGTAGTTCATCTAGACGCCATACAGCGACGAGTAGCTCAGCTGCCCGATATTTGCTCAGTCGACAGACTGCTTTGGAGCACCTCCGTCCCGATGATCTTCTTTGATATGGTTGAGTATCATGCCATAGAGCGTGTGCTTCGCCAGTTTCACCGTCCCCAGCCTATACCGGGGGAGCCTGGATGGGTGGCTACACACTATTAGTGGGACGACCGTGCCAGGGTGGACGTTATATATATAGGATGGCTAGAGCAGCAGGTCCATACTTGGGAGGAGCGAGGTCACCGTATTCTGCCACCACCTACATTTACCCAGGAGGCCACTATTCATCTGTATACGTCATGGTACCGCCGTCACACCCGACTGATGATCGGGAACCCCATTCATGTGCTTGGCGATCGCTACAGACCATACGCCGGGAGGCACGAGGCACTGGTATGTTTTTGTGGCTTATTAATATTTTATAATTGTGATATAGCGTTATTTAATTAATATTTTAAATGTTTCACAGACTATTGGGCATCATCACCTCTACCAGATGGGACAGGAGATGCAACAGCATGCCGACAATCCTGCACTCGTTGACTATGGACGGCGGGTGGAACAGGTGGCTCGTTGGATCCTGCTTCAGGCGAGAGATGCCGCAAGGTTGGACCATGAGGCTCAGTATGCGGCCAAAGGACTACCATCGGGGTAGGGGTGTCCTACGAGGCAGGGGTAGGGCACGAGGGAGGGGTGCCCCACGAGGCAGGGGTGCCCCACGGGGTCGCGGGGGTCGTGGGGGACGGTGAGGAGGTAGTCCCCAGCAAGGGGGCTATGAGGCACTTGTTGGCCCACCTGTGGAGGGACATGATGGGGATTTTGGAGATGAGGATCTTGGAGATGATCAGCCGGGTTATGGACCTCAGGTAGATGAGCCATCCAGCAGCATGCCGTCGTACAGCCTTCAGCTATCTCTTCCAGCATCGCAGGTCACCCCGTCAGGAGCATTATCGATCACGGGTACATTCGACGGGGATGTAGACCAGTACTTTGCATGCCCATCTACCACAGTTGAGGATCGGCCCACCCGGGACGTGGATGGCGGGCGCAGGTTAAGTTATGCCTCATCCCCAGCGGTTGATGCGGATCTACCACAGGCGCAGGTATGTTTGTATTACTTTAAAATTTCAATTTGTTTTCTTTTCCTTAATGAGCTGACATTAATTAATTTTTAACTTTCTTATGAAGGTTCGTCCTAGCCCATCTTCGAGGCCACTACATGCTTTGATGAGGACACCACGGATGCATATACTTAGGCGGCGGACGAGACCACGGTGAGAAAATGTTTTTTGACTCAACACGTACAATACAAATATACTTTTTCACATGCTAAGATTACTACTTGTTTTGTAGGTTGCTGACAGCCCGACGGCCTATTCTTCCGATCCTGCCAGTTGTGGTGTCGATGGTGCTGCACATCCTCACATTAAGAGGCAGCTTGATGGCGATGATCCAGATAGTGTACCCGGGCGACAGGGGATGCGACTTAGACCGGCAGCTGCACTGAAGCACACAGGCTGCGGGACTCACTGAATTAATTGTGTTTTTACTTTGTGTAAATAGTGCATTATGTAAATAATGGTAACAATTATCTTTTAACAAAAATTTTATTTTAATTGCGTTTGAACAGCAATTTAACTTAAACAGTACAACACAAACACAAACCTTGCAAACCTAACATAAAAACAAACAGTAGAACTAAAAGGAAACATAAAGAAAGCAGTTTTTTGACATGGATTTCATCTTTTTCAGAACGACAAGACAACTCCAACAAACGTAGTATTATACTGCGAATTAATTATTATATTTTTCTGCAAGAAATCAGCTTTTCTCACATGGGTTTCATCTTTTTCAGAACGAGAAGACAACTCCATAAAACGTAGTACTATACTGCGAATTAATTATTAAATTTTTAACGACAAGACAACTCCATAAAACACAGTACTATACTGCGAATTAATTATTAAAGTTTTCTGCAAGAGAGCAACTTTTTTCACATGGTTTTCATCTTTTTCAGAACGACAAGACAACTCCATAAAACGCAGTACTATACTGCGAATTAACTATTAAAGTTTTCTGCAAGAGAGCAGCTTTTTTCACATGGTTTTCATCTTTTTCAGAACGACAAGACAACTCCATAAAATGCAGTACTATACTGCGAATTAATTATTAAATTTTTCTGCAAGACAGCAGCTTTTTTCACATGGTTTTCATCTTTTTCAGAACGACGAGACAACTCCATAAAACGAAGTACTATACTGCGAATTAATTATTAAATTTTTCTGCAAGACAACAGCTTTTTCACATGGTTTTCATCTTTTTCAGAACGACAAGACAACTCCATAAAACGCAGTACTATACTGCGAATTAATTATTTTGTCTCGCCTATAAATAACGGGCTCATTGTAGTTATTTTGTATGCTCAAAATTTACTAAAAGCAGATATTTCATTAAAAGTAAGTTTTTTTTTACTAAAAGCAAATATTTCATTATATGGCTCAACCTCTTCGTCCACCACAGTGCTACTGTGAAAAATTATGCATGATGCAAAGTTGTTAGGACGGTGGTGAAGCTGGACGCCGCTACTGGCACTGTATGAACCAGTTTTACAAGGTTCCCGGTGAACCTATTTGTAAGTTTGAGGAATGGGTTGATGAACCATGTTATCAGGAATACTACAAAGAAAAACTGCAGTTTCTTCATAATATGTGTTTACGCCAACAGGAAACACAAAGCGAAAGCGATAGAATTATTGCAGAAATAAGGGCGAAACTGAAGGAGGTGGAAGAAGAAAAATGGAAAGCACAATGGAATTGTGAAGCACAAAATGAACGTAAAAAAAATATAAGCGGGAACTTGCGGAGGTGAAGGAGAAACTGAAAGAGGTAGAAGAAGAAAAAGAACAACTGGAAGAACGATTTAAGTGGTTGGAGCGGAGAGTAAATGGCAACCGGGACTAAACATTGGCATGTATGTGTTTAGTGTATTTTTCATATTTCATGTATTTTTATTATGTTGGGCTGCTACGTTTGTGTTTGTGCTGTAGTAATATTTTCCTTGTTTCTTGTACTAAATTTTATTTTAATTGAAGTGGAAGTTAAGTTTAAGTGCTTGTGTGTTATATGAAACTATCAAACCACGCTTTACATATTACATTTTCCTGCAATTATACAGTTTTTTCTTCGCTCATTCCAGATTGTCGAACATAATTTTATTTGATATATATTGCAACATACACAAGTACAAACACGTATTACAAAAAATAATACCAAAACAAAAGACTAGGGGTATCCTTGATAGTTGGGTACATTCGACGAACTTGCCCTAGGAGCCGGATTACCATCGGCACGCACACCACCTGAAGGACATTTACGACGGTCGTGTCCTGTTTGCGAGCATATGCCACATTTACGCGCATAAACGGTGTCACCAACATCCATTTGGTTCCGTATAAGCGTTCTCTTTTGCACTTGCAGCTTGCGCAAATAGTCCTTGTTACATACCATCTTAAAAGGTTCCGGCGGCCAATAATGCTCAGCACCTAATGGCTGCAACTTCCCACTATACGTGTCTACGTATGCAGCAACACTGTATTGCCTATCAATATAGTTTGTTGCCCCATATCCAACTTGTTGAAAGCACTTCAACGCATGTGCGCACGGCATGTGGTAGATGGTCCATTTCCCACATGAACATAACCTTCTATTTTCATTCACCGTCTGTAGATTATTCCTACGGTGTCCGCGGATAGCGGTCTTAACTTCAAAAACACCCCGTTCATGATCGTACTGAAGAAATGAATGCCACTGTGCTCGCCTCCTGGACCTTTCAAATCTTCTCATGGGTATTGGCATAAATTGAACACCCCTTTCCATCAATGCCGATGCAGCTGCATGCCTTTCAACAAACCTCTCCGCACTCTGTTTGAATGCCATGCGGACCATGGCAGTGACAGGCAATCCACGGGCAGACTTCAACAAGCCGTTGAATGACTCCGACACGTTTGTAGTGAGGGCTCCCCATCGTCTGCCGCCAATAGCATGCAATGTCCACATGTGAAGCTCATGTCGCATCAACCAAGTATAGGCTCGTGGATCTATCTGCCGGATCGCTTCCATGCGCCTCGTGAATTTGCACTGTTGGTGCTCAGTTGCAGCTATCCATATTAAGTCATGCAAGGCCTTGTCAGGAAATTTCTTCTGGAAATTGGCCTTCAGGTGCCTCACACAGTAACGGTGGTATGCATATGGTTTCTGCCATTCAGGCAAGTGACGTACAGAACTTAAAATACCACCATGCCGATCAGATATTAGACAAATACCTGAACGCTGTTTGACAACGTGCTGCTTCAAGTGGTTCAAAAAAAGCGTCCACGGCTCTTCGCTTTCATTGGCACATATGGCAAAAGCTAGTGGAAATATTTGTCCGTTGGCATCAACTGCAACTGCAATCAAAAGCTTAATATCATACTTTCCATAGACATAAGTACCGTCTATGGAAATTACAGGACGACAATGCACAAAACCATCAATTGCTGCTTTAAATGACCAGAACACATAGTTGAAAATATATTCGGGTCTGTCCGGACTCCGCTCACGCCTCCATTCAACAACAGTGTCGGGGTTAAAATGTTGCAGTGCGACCATCTACCTGGGCAGATTTGAAAAAGACTTATCCCAGTCGCCATAAATAAGTTCAAAGGCACGTTTGCGACCGAGATATGCCTTTCTTTTGGTTATAGTACAACCATACTCCTGGTGGACGGCTGTAATACACTCTTTAATCTTGAACCTAATGGACACTTCCAAATATGGAATCAAGACAAGAGAAATCAAGTCCACATCCAAGTTGAAGTGATTCTCATTGAATGTGTCCATTTCACATCTGTGCTCGCTAATAAATTTACCCACTTTCCATAAACCTGATTTCTTTCTGGCACGCAACATCCAGTGACAACCCATAAACCACCTACGACATACAGACTTGTATACCTCCGTAGTTGACTCACTTACCGTCATCTCACGGCACTCTCTTATACTGTAGATTTTTACAGCCCTAATTAGGCGAGCTTTATCGGGGAAATACATGCCCTTTGTCAGAACAACTGGTCTAGACTCATCCCACATCGCTGACCGAATTTCGTCATCATCCCTTGTGAGGGCATCAACGTTCGGCATACTTGGCAAATTATCAAGGTAGGGAATATTCCGCTCATGAAATGGCACGTGGGACTCGTACACTCTTTGTCTAGCGGGAGGTGGAGGAACATGCTCCCTCGTCAGCTCAGGTTCAACATTTACTTCCTCCTCATCATCACCCTCATTATGGAATGTTGTGTCATCCCCAGACTCATCCGCATTGTTATCATAATCACTATCATCTTCCTGACTCTGCGCATCAGCCAAATCACGGGTCAATACGTCGTCTATGGGCAACTGTGTGAGGTCAGGAACATCAACAAGCTCGTTTTCACTGCACAAAAATAACAAAATGATAAGTTACCCAACTACATAAATACTTTTGATATAGCTATATCACTTTACTTACAAGTCGCACTGTCTTGACGTTTCATGATGGATATTTTCTTGTTGGTGATGACTCCCGAATGGACCACCGTGCTCCAATACTCCAGAACTACGCATATTCCAACTAGGGACGGGGTCATAACTTGTAAAATTCATATCCGGACGGTACCCCCTATGAAAAATATAAGTGTTAATACAAATAAAATTAAAATATAGAATAAACATCGCTAAAGCGTAGTAAAATTGAAGTTTACCAATCGTCTTGTGGATTATATAAAGTCGAAAAATTATTTTATGGCTGCTCATTCGCCGGTGGTGACAAGTTTAAATTAAGGCAAGCTCTTTCATCAGCAATCTGTCCGGCAAAAACTGCTCCAGAATAACCACCCGATGACTGGGGGTTATCCCTACTATGCACGCCCTCATTATTGGGAACGTCTTCCACCTTGACGTACATTTCCAATAATTTTATTATAATAACTTCCCTGTATTCATCCGGAATCCGCAAAAAATCTCTAAGAGTTTCATCATCCTCGATGTTAAACTCAGAATAATAAGCAAACCCCTGCGGAGTCACTGAATACGGAAACCTACCGGTTACTTTAAGGTTAACCGAACGCTTCCTCACACTCATTTTTTACATAACAACGAAACCAATTTATCATACTCCATAGTAAGCGGCAATTTAACATGACACTGTGAAGGCGAGCTATACCTCACAGAGTTATTCTCCAGCACAACCTCACCCCCCCCCCCCCCAATATAATGAAACTCTTATTTTTGGCTCTTCAGACATTGTACAAAAATAATTGATAAGAAGAAGAGAGAAGTATGAACGGAAGTTAAAAGTTTGTATTGAATGAATTTTCATAAAACTGAAACGCCTTTAAATAAGGCAAGTCCGAGCCTGGGGGGCAGAATTTTTTTAAGGAATTCGCAGTACAATAATACGTTTTATATGTTTGAATTATTGTTATGTCAGTTAATTATTGGTGGGGCCAAATCAGTAATTCGTAGTACAATACTGCGAATTAGCTAAAAAAAAATTTAATAATACGCAGGGCAATACTGCGAATCACTTTTTTTAACTAATTCGCAGTAAATTACTGCGAATTACAATTTTTATAACTAATTCGCAGTACTAGTACTGCGAATTATGTATTTAAGTAACTTTTTTTTAGTAGTAAAAACGTGTTTTTTATCCAAAAAAACATTAGAAAAGTTTCGGACTCACCAAATGTATAGGGGATTCAATAGTTTATAGGCTTCATATAACGAATTACATGTACATACGCGACAATAAAAGCTCAAGACGAGCATCGATTTTCGTTTCTTTGCCATAAGGAAGATGGAATCTGGAACAAGAGTAATAGCCCGTTTGGCCAAGCTGCAAAAATCAGCTTATTTTGAGAAGTGCTTTTCTTCAAAAGTGCTTTTCTCAAAAGTACTTTTGGTGAGAAGCAGTGTTTGGCTAATTAGTTTGAAAAGCACTTCTGAGCAGCAATTAGTGTTTGGCCAAGCTTTAAAAAACTGCTTCTAAGTGTATTTTTCTCAAAAGTGCTTCTCAGAAAAGTACTTTTGGAGAGAAGCTACTTTTTTCTGCTTTTCCAAAACTGCTTCTGCTTCTCCTCAAAAGCACTTTTTTTCCTTCCAAAAGCTTGGCCAAACACCTCAATTTTTGGCCAAAAGTGCTTTTGGCCAAAAAAAAGCACTTTTGGCCAAAAAGAACCTTGGCCAAACAGGCTATAATTAGAACTCAATACACACGGAACCTAATGACTCGGACGTGCGTCAGCTCAGACATTTTAATATATGCTGCCACGTTAACCCACTTGGGTCGCAAATAAAATTTACTGCTACAACAAAGAAACGAATTTATCGCCGATTCTCTTATCTAGGGTAGTCTTCATCAGAGGAAGTAATTAAGCAAGAGAGGAAGACACCACAAACGCTAATAGTTATAGAAGTTAATTAATTAGTAGGAGTTAATTTAGACATTAATTGTACGATAAGGAGAGATGCCTATGACTTGGAGACTTATAGCTGGAAATTGGAAGAGCAGCACTTTGTCCTTGTCTCTCACTCCAACCATGTGCAAATGTTCATAATCTTCCCTTTCCTTCCCTCTGTATAATAGCCTCTTCTCCTTTGGTTCCAAACCAGTTACCATTGACAGTATCATCTTCAATTCACCTGAAAAACCAACGAAAATGCATTTGGTTTCAATAAGATTGGTATAGCTGCAGGCTATTTCGATTTATTACATGTACGTAGTTACTTTTTAGGTGTATTACCGGTATTTATAATACTGCATTGTTAGTGTGTGAAAACAATTGAATATCTAACCCAAAATCTAATATTATATGAACTTTATGACCATCTCATCTGAAAATTAATTGAAATTCATATTTTGTTCCTTCCTAATTTATAAGGCCAAGTGAAAAAGGCTTACCAAAAGTTGAAGTGGGTTGGATAGAAATATGATGCCAATTAGAAAGAGTTGAGACTCGAATTGTGATGATTGCTTCTCCGCCATTAATGTTGTGACATTCTCTTTTTTGAACTAGCATACCTCCTGGACGTAATTCCCACTTGATTTCACCAGAATTAATGCTCTTGCTTCCCACAATACTTTTCCCGGCTGCCGCAGCCCCACTTCCAACTTTCCAATTACTTTTGCAGAACCTCTTTGATCTTAACTTGATCATTTTTTTCTTTCTCTCACTTTTTATCACATAAAACTGAAGAGACTGGGAGAAATAAAGGGAGTGACTTGGGGGCTGTAGCAGGACAAAATAGCAAACTCATGAGAAAAACATATATTTATACACCAAGAGTTACATGATTAAAATGAAGTATCTTAATTATGTTTACGAATTACGACCATAGTGTTTAACCAAAAAATAGGAATTTCAGTCAAATTCTATTTTTAGAAGTATTTTGGCTACTGATAATCAAGAAAATCAATATTCTTGTAATAAGAAATGAAATTAGAATATGAAATAGCAAAGTAATCAATAGAAAGCAAAAGAAAGTAAATAGTCAGAACGTGTCCATACAGATGATATTTCTTTCTCTTATATAGTGATCTCCAAGTACAACGTCTTTTCCCTTTTATGACTGAGTCATTATGAGTATTAATGACATTAATGAAACGTTATAATTGGTAATCGTAATTGTTTCATGAAGATTCTGTAACGTTTTTAATTATCCATGCTCATTAATTGAAGACTAATGAATCTGCCCTTTTTACTGTCTTGGTTTATTCCACCGGTGCCTCTTCAAATCGCTAAAGAGACTTGAACAACCATTTCTTCTCATCTCGTGGGTGCTTTGCTCATATATATTAAGACTCACGTCTTTTTTAATGCTCTTCTCCAGCTGTCACTTTTCTAGTGATCCACGTGTCTTGCCATGTAAGCCACATAATTAATTTCACGTGTAATATTCATTTTCTCCAATACAAATAGTCCCCCCACTTACCAATTATTCAGCAATTGAATATTTGGGAAGTGGATCACATTTATGGCGGGAATTTTTTGTCGTCGTTTCTCACGTACCATTTTATCTTCTTCCGAACCAATGCGTCGTATGTCACTTCCAATTAATGCATGTGACACATGGCAGTCATTGATTGGCTCTGCAACTCTTCAGCGGGTTTTAGGGCTTTTTGCGGCTGTATCAGTCACGAAGTGACAGTTTTCATAATGACTTTTCCATCATTACCTTTTTTACATGACGGTTGCTTCTGCATATAAATACATCCTTTGCCTTTGCTTTCACGAAAAACTTTCTTCAGTGTTCTTTATTCACAACTTACTCTTGTTCTTCAGTATGTACTACTTCCTCATACAGCTATGTCTTCTTCAAACCCTGATCCTCGAAAAGTTGTCATAGTAGACGAACTTCCCCTTTCTTCTGCTCCTACCAGAAGTAGGAGAGGTGGTAGATTGTGTAGTTTAGGGTTAGTTTCTGTACGTGGTTCTTCTTCTCAACCCAGTTCTACTCCTCCATCGTCTTCTAGAACTAGGGCTTGTTCTTCACATAGATCTTCCGCTAGAAATAGGGATTCTAGTGAACCGCTTCGTGAACCTACTGTCAACGAGATTATTCCTACTGAACTTTCCTTTATCACAGATAGAGAATTAATTAAAAATCAGATTACTTCCATGATTTCTCTCGATTGCGCTGATGTTTACCCTTTCCAGATCACTGAGGGTTTAGTTTCTATTGTGCGTAGAGATTACTATTGGAAATTTGACTTCCCGATTATGGTCCCCAATAAGAATCAAAGGATCACTTCCTTTAAAGCTGGTTTTTCGTATACATATCCCTTCACATTAGGTTTTAGGCCACCTATTGATCCGGTTATTATTGAGTTTTGCCGTTTCTTTGGTGTGTGTTTAGGACAGATTGGTCCTATTGTATGGAGGGTTGTGGCATGCCTTAGATACTTGTCAAATCTGGCTTTTTACCCTTCACCTTTTACCATCTGATTTATCTTTACTCTCCCAAATTATTTCGTAATGGGGGTTTTACCCTCGTGGTGAGAAGTAAGAGAGATTTGGTTAGCCCTGAAGACGACAAAGACCGTGGCTGGTACGCCCGATTTGTTACTGCTCCTACAAGTGGGTTAGTAGGTGAAGAAACATGCCCTTCCATGAGAAGTGGAACTTTGCACGTAAGTTTCTCTTCCAATCTTTTATTTCTCTTTTTTTTTAAAGAACTTGTAATCTCGTAACTGTTTTACTTTTCTTTTTCAGCGACCATAGGAACTGTTGAGGAAATTTCTGATTTCCGTGGTTAGGTAGAAAAATTGTTAACCGTTGCTCCAATGGAAGAAAGGTCCTGGAAATACCTTTCAAACAGATTTGGATGGAAAGTTAAGACTCACGGTAACTTCCTCTTTCACTTTCTTCTTTATTTTCATGTTTATCTTGGAACTTATTAAACCTTTTAGGGTTTCCCATTCGGGGTGTGAGTGATGCATCAATCACTGCTTCGAGTCTCTCTCTATCAAAGTCTCAAGAGATAATCTTGAGTTCCTCATAAAAAAGAAAAGCTGATAGACCACAGAACTCTGAAGACGAAGAGGAATGGGACGAAGGCTCGTTGGTTCGTAAGCCACGAGTTAGAACACGGGTCATTTCAGATGACGAAGCTACTCCCCCTCCTAGTTATGTTCCCCTGCTCGTGCCTGAGAGTGATACCTTAATGAGTTCTGATGAAGAGACGTCTGCAGCACCCCGTGACTCTACTGAACAACTCTTTTCTCGTGGATTTGATGAAGAAAGCTTTGGCTTTATTTTTGAGGAAACGCCTCTTGCCTCTTTTCCTGTGTCTACTCCAATTGAATCTCAGTTGCCTGTACCTGCTGCTGTTGCCACTGCTCCGCCCGTGGCTATTTTGACTTCCTCGACTGCTCCTACTGCCACAACTTCCCATGCTGAAAGTGGTTCCTCCAGTAGTAGTAGGTTGATGAAACAAGTTACCATCGAGATTCCTGCAGTTGGTAATCTTTTGAAGAAATCAGGCCAAGCTGACGTATGGCTGAAACCACTAATTGGCCCAGTTGAGAAGTCTAAACTGGAAAGTCACAGCTCTCTAACGTGGATGAATGATATTGTGCATTCATCTTTAAAGGTATAAACCTTGTCTTTTTATTTTACATGATTTTTCTTTTACTAGTATCACATTCCTCTTTTCATTACGTAGATCAATCTCATCGGTACAGAGATGATGAAAAGGATTGTCCACAAGGAGCAGTTGATGAATAATTATCACACTGAAGCAGACAATTGGAAAGAGCAGTTCGAGGGTCTTCAACTTGAAATGGAGATTTTAGAGGAAGAAAAGTGTACCTTAGAGCAGCAAGTAAAGGTTATGGCAGCGGAACTAGCGGTTGAGAAAGCCTTATCCTATCAGGCGGGCAAAGATAAGAATCTTCTTGAGTCTTCATTTGCTGAGCAGCTTTCCAAGGCTTCTGAAGAAATTAGGAGCTTAAAGGATTTTCTAAACCAAAAAGAAGCTTACTTTGGGGAGCTTGTTCAAATGCTCACACAAACTCAAGAAGATCTTTGTGTATCTTCAGACAAGGTTAAATTTCTAGAGAGATCTCTTGCCCCCCTACAGGCTTCTTACGATGTTGCCTTGAATGAGAAGGATGAAATAAGAGCTGAGGTTGAGCAATGGGAAAAAGACTATGATGCCCATGAAGATAAAGCCGTTGTTGATGTTAGCTGGGCTTTTTTGAACACTCGCCTCGAAACATTAATGGAAGTAGGAAGGGAAGGCTTTGACTTAGATGCTGAGATTACAAAGACTAGAGAGACGATTGAAAAGACCCAGCAGAGTCAAAACTTTTCTTCACCTGAGGTTGGTATTCCCGAAGGTGATGAAATCACTCCTGGCAAAGCTATTGCTCAACCTTCTCCTGCTTAAGTTGCTCTTCCTTCTGGTGATGATGCCACTCTCCATCCTACCGGTTCAGATTCTGCCCCACAGTGAAAGTGAAAAAGCTTAAAGTTTTTCTTTGTTTTTTTATTGGTGGAACATTTGGAGGTTTACCCCTGGTCCCATTTGGGGGTAATATTTTGGAAAATCTTACCCTTAGTCCATTTTGGATTTTTTTGTATAAGACAATCAGGTTAGAACTAAGTTCATACTTAGTTTTAACCAAGTTATTATAATATCATCTTCTAAGTTTTTTGTTCAACTTCAATGATATTTTATTTCGAGTTTCTTTACTACTCTTTTATTATGCACTAAAAATGCTTTAATACTTCGTGACTTTTTTAAACAAGCACGATTTATAAAATAGGGCCCTTTTATGAACGATACTTAATGAAGAAGACATCTCAACTTCATAATGGTGTAAACATATGAAAGAAGAAATATGAACACACACGTTTCTTTGAATAACTTTGAGGAAAGTTTTGTATCATTCAAACTTTCAAATTATATAATACTTTACATGTATTTCAGTATCATCTATAACTCTTTCGTAACTGTTTTCTTTACAACAGACTTGTGAAAAATTCAAGGGTATATCTTGCAACCCATGATTAAATATTGCATTTAACATAAAAATTCTTAAGATTTTGAAATTTACATCCACGAGTCTATTCTTCACAGGTTTTTGAATCAAGCTTGCGTTTTTGGCTCGTGACTTTGCTCTTAACATTCAATTTGTTGGGTAGACCTTTGACTTGAATTCTGATTTTTCTTGTCTTCTTTGCCTTCCCCATATATATATATATATATATAGGAAGGAGTAATCAAGTGCTCGAGATTTCATATATATATACATATATATATATATAGTCCCCCAAGTGTTTGAGCTTTGAAATATGAAATCTCGAGCACTTGATTACTCCTTCCATGTGGTCCTTTTTCTGAAAAAGGAAAAAAGCACGGGACTCGGAGGTATATATAATTTAGATGATGACTGCTTAACCCTTTATATTTCCATCAGGAAGGTTACCCTAGATCGGGAATTATGTTACTTCCGCGTGTCTTTCAGGTCTAATATCATCATTTGGTGAGGGCTAGCTTTTTGCCTATTATCTAAAATTGTTAGTATAATTTTAACTGTACAAAATAAAAATCGTAATTGAGCGATACCTGACCGTGGGTATTTCTTTTGCTTAGAAATAGTATTTCTTCAAATGAACAACATTCCAACTCGAGGGTAGAACCTTGCCATCCATGGTTTCTAACTCGTAGGCACCTTTTCCAGCGATAC